TTAATAGGTTTCCTGACTGCCTCCCCTGAATTCTGCAATTTTGCCCCAGCCTCCCTCCCTTGATGGAAAGCCCTAGAGCAGATTTGGAACTTTGGAATGAAGCCTGGGGCTCTCCGTGGGGGCAGAGGGTCAACGTAGAGATCACTTTCTTTGTAAGAAGAGTGACCATTATGTCTGCTCCCAGAACACATTTGGTGGCTGAATATCCATGACTTTTTCAAGATCTTTTATTGTTTTGATAGAGGTTATTTCCTGAAACCAGATCTTTGCTCTCACAATTCTGATTGGTCTTGATTACTGAATAGTTGTTGTGAAAAGGCTACAGTGGGCAAAGGAAGGCTAGATTCAGTATTTTTTGATGGAAGCAAACCAAATGTAGGGAGTGGTCTGTAGATGCAATTAAGAAGCCTTTTACTGTAAGCGCAGCCATCTTTTAGCTTCAGTTCTGTTTCCATGGCAACCAGATGGTTGGCAAGTGCCTGGCTGAATGGTTTTACAGGAAGCTGAAAAGCATTGCTATTCTAAGCAGCTTGCTTTTTGCTGCAGAAAGGGATCCTTCCCTTACTGTAGGCTGGCCAGATTGACTGGGAACAAAGCAGGCTATTTATGCTTTTATATTCTGGGAACAGGGCAGAGAAATGGGGAGAGGATCTCAGCCCCTGCTCACTGGTCTGTGAATTTGTTTTGGGGGTGGTTGTTTCTAGCAGCTGGGAAGAACCAAATGACTTAACCTTCTCTTTATTTCAGATATGGTTTCCCTGTTTTAGCAGATCTTACATTCTAGAGATGGAACTGGTTGTAAAAAGAAGGTGGTAGTGGCAGGCGTCTGGGATAATGTCAGTTTCGGTGAAGTCAGTCTGCTGAGTTTATAGCTTTCAAGTAGCTATAAGGGCAGTCTGTTTTTTTTAAGTATCCCCTGCTAGCAGCAAATAGATAATGGCTCAGCAGCTGTTAGGCCTGTACTCTATTGTATGTTAAAATTGTCATTTGGATTTTCTTTATACCTTAAAACACTGTACTTCTATTTACATGATAGAAAAATTATATGCATAAACCTTTGGGGGATTCAAAATTAAGAGCAGTTCCATTTGGACAGTTTATGACTTATAATGTGACCATTTCTTAGGAAGAAACCATAAGGATATGGATGCAGGTCCATCAGAAAACAATATAATAATTTTAGTTTTAAATATAAGCCAATTAACAGGACTTCCTTTCTGAGCTCATTCAAATCCTCTTTATAAGTGAGCTAGAAAATAGGAAAAAGATTTTTTTGTTGTTTTACTATTCAGTAGAGACAACCGTTTAAAGCTGAATAGTGAAAGCATTTAATTTCAGGAGGGTGTGTGGACTTTTGTTCTCAGTCAGTGTCTCTTTTTCTCTCACACACACAGACACACAGGCTTAAAATGAAAGAAAATCCGTAAAAAAATTCCAAGGTGTGCTTTACATTCTTGATATCTATCACAACATTATTTTTTTCCTACAAAATGTGGCCTTTGTTCTGAGAGATAGACATTTCAAGGGTGCTAAGATTTTGACCCTGACTGTATTTAGAAACGCTGTTGCCAGTTGGAACTAGTCTCTCGCTGAGCTCCAATAATGTTTCTTTTGCATTTTGATCGGGTCTTAGAAATTTTGCACAAAACACAGTTGGAAAGTATCTCAGGAGCCTGTTATTTAATGCAACTTCGAGTCTCTGAATAGCACCAAATGGAAGATTGAATAGCAACCGCGTTTCTTTGAGTCCTCTCTATGCAATGTTCTAGTAGTAGATTTCACAGGTAATTTTTTTCTCAAATCAGCCTGAAATAATGATGAAAGAAGTTTAATTCCCCAAAGGGCTTACATGATCTAAGATGAGTTTTTAGGAAGTATTTTAAGGTATCTAGAGCCAGAATTTGATCAAGTGTTTGGCGAATAACTTGTAAATGAGCCATAGGATTTGACTACCTCGTTCAAGGAGTTTATAGATTACCTTGGCATGGAAAACCAGCAGCATGAAGCCTAGAACAAGGATTGCGTGGCATGGTAACGGGTTCAGAGGAAATCAGAGAAGGAGTGTAGAAGTAGCCTCTAGAGAGGGCTACCTACAGGAAGTGGACTCACGGCATTTTCTAATTCAACCAAAATTTATTGGACAAACCCGCTGTGCTAGGTGCCATGCACTCTGCTTACAGTTGTAGTGCCGAGGTAGGCAGTTATTATCTGTGTATGCAGCTCAGAGTCTGGACAGATGTCTGGGAATAAAACCAGGCAGTTAGTTACCTCAATGATGGTGTCTCAGCTGGACAAATTACAGAGTTTTGAAGGAACACCTGGATTTGGAGGGTGTGGAGATAATTGTTGAAGATTCCTTTGAGGACATTCGAAGCTGAACTTGAACAGAAATAAATCCCAAACAGACATTGCTATTTACCCACTTGAAATAGTGTTTCTTTTTACCCCCCTCTTTCTCAGAAGAATGCACTCCACTTCTCCAAAAGAAGTCTCCTAAAACATAAATATGTAAGCTTTTCTTAGAAACTAAAATTGGCTTCAGAATTGTGTAGGAAGAAGAGCTCCGAGAAATCCAGCCTGCGTCATCATCAACTCCTTTATAACTCTGGAAAGGGAAAGAAATACAAGATTTCCAAAGAGCACCAGGGGGTCAGGAAATGGAGATGTCTGCGGTTCAGAATGTAGTGTCCAGGGAAGACAACTCTTCTCTGTCCTCTACCCCACCCTTTTCTTTTTTTTTATTTTAGGAAAGGGTTTATTATGCTCCTAGTATGTGCAGAGTGTTTTTATTAGACCTGGAGCCTTTGTATCTGTTGCTGTATCTTTTAGCAGAGACAGAACGGGGAAAGGAAAAGTGAGTGTGGCAATCTATTGCCAATAGCACTGAAATTATGGCTGCCACCTTTTCCCCCCTGACCTAATTAATCTGTCTACTGAAGGACAGAAAAATTACTGTTGTTAGTGGCCCACATTCATCTGGAGAGCTTAGATATGCTCGCATAGATACATTATTTCTCAGTTGGATGTTTCCCAATTAGATCCTGCTGGTTGCTTTAATTTTGTACTTGAGCAGAAATATCACTTCCCCATCATTTATGTGGCTTTCTTCTATAAGCCAAATAACATCTATTATCCCTGAAGAGCTTCTTGCATGGAAGAAGGGATTAGAAGCAAACAGTAGGTCTACTAAACTGAGTCGCTTTTCCTTACCCCTGCTAAGAATGACTTTGAGACATTATTCATGGTATTGATCTTTTTTTCTGAGTCAGATTTAGTGATATGGCCCGTAATTCAAAGTTAAATGTGTTTAAAATTTTATGATAAAAAGGAACAAACAGACCACCAGAGTTAAAGAATAAGAAATATGTTTTTTTAAGACAGAAGTATTTAAGTGTCCAAATATATGAAATATTCTGTAGGTATTGAATATCTTCTTTTATGGGATGCTATTTTCATTAAGTTCTTCTTTGTCCTTCCTTTTTCCCACAACAGGGGTTCAAGCACAGCATTCTCCTAGCGTAACATTTTAAACTATAATTATTAATTTTCTTGTCTGTCTCCACTGCGAGACTGTGTACTTCCCGTCTTCTGTTCAGGCCTGGCATGCAGTTGGTACTTGATTAAAGCCAGAATGTATGTACAGTAGTAAATCAACCTGGCTCCCCTTGGCGAGAGAGAGTTAGCTTAGCTTATATTAAACCTTGGGAATTTTATTAGATGTCTCACTTTTAAAAGTATCAGCTGTTTGGAGCCACTGCTAGGAAAAATGAAATAGGTAGTCCCAAATGTTCATAGACTGAGGACTGGATAAACGAAATGTATGTACCCTTTAACTATTTATTTATTCAGCCGTAGAAAGGAATGAAGTGCCGATATGTGCTACAACATAGGTGAACTTGTAAACACGCTAAGTGAGAGAAGCCAGTTGCAAAATGCCATACATTGTATGGTTTGATTAATGTGAAATTTGCAGGACAGGGAAATCCATGGACAGAAAGTATTTTATGGGTGTCTGGGGATGAAGAGGGGAGGCATGGGAAGTGACTGCTAATGGACATGGGATTGTTTTTTAGGTGATGAGAATGCGATAAAATAAATTGTGATGGTTCCAGAACTCTGAATATACTCAAAACCATCACATTGTAAATTTTAAATGAGTATATTGTATGGTACATGCATTATATCAATAAAGTTGTTTAACAAAAAAGAACCACCATCACAGTCCAGGTTGGGGACCCAAGGTCGTCTTGATGTGGCCGAGGCAGAAGTACGCAGAAGAAATTGCCAGGGCAGGATTTGAGGGCCAGCGGATCCATCCTGGGTGCCCTGTGAAGGACCATCTTCTTGTCCCTGAAGGAAGCCCCTTAGTGCTGTGTGGTTACCCTGGTGCCTTTGAGAGACTGAGTAGAACAATATGACCTCACTTACTTCCACACTGTGAGAGCAGTGATGAGTGAAACTCGGGGAGCGGTGATGGCTGGAGGTTGCAAAGACTGGTGCTGTGTTTGGGTCACCCTTGTTTTACTTAATGATGACCCCAAGGCTCAAAAGTAGTGATGCCAGCAATTGGACATGCCAAAAAGAAGCCCCCTGTGCTTCCTTTAAGTGAGCAGGTAGGTGTTTACAAGGACAACCCACAGTGAACAGAGAATTTGGCACTAAATTGACAGCAGAGACACCAGCAATCATCAATCCAGTGTCGTTGCCCATTAACCAGAAAGCTGGAAAACATTGCTTTCCCCCATGTGTCTGCCCTTGACCTCACGGGCACACCGGGAAGGTCAGTGCAGGCCACGAGCAGCTCGTTCTGTTGTCGTGAGGTCAGGGGGCACTCTGCGGAAGTGCTTTGTGAACAGTAAAATGCTCAGAAATGTGATAGTAAACAACTTTTTATTCCAGCTCTATATTACAGGTGAGGCTTAAATATGTATTTAATATTGCTTTTAATCTCACTTTTAATGTTTCTAATTTATTTCTTGGATGTGATTTTTTTTTTTAAGGTTACTTGCCTGCAAGACTTTTTTGGTGATGATGATGTTTTTATTGCATGTGGACCTGAAAAATTCCGTTATGCCCAAGACGACTTTGTCCTGGATCACAGCGGTAAGGCCGCATCTGTAGCCCGGAAGTGGAGGCCAGGGTGTAGTCACGTGGTGCGCGTCAGGTGGTCATCACGTCATCTTTGAAAATAGACGCATTGACAATAGTCTTTCTGAATTCATGGCAGTAGAGGATAAAATGAAAGGGAAAAAAAACCCTGATTCAGTAGTTAAGTAGTACTCACTTTTATTGACTTTGTTCTCTTTCTTACTGCATTGTTTTGCTTCAGAAATGCATTTCCTACCTTCTTTCGGAATGCAGGCTGGCTGTGCCACCTTAATTGTATGGACAATTACAGTTGTACATTTTCCACATCCATAAAGAGATACACGGAAGGGTAACAAAATCATTAATAGTGATCATCTCGGTTCTTCTTTTAACCGTACTATTTTGTTTGCAACTTTAAAAAGGCAATAACATGCATTGTTTATATATGCAGAAAAAATAAGGCAATTTTCATTAATGGGTAGAATAATCTTTTTCTCTTCATTGTGCCAGTATATGGAGTTTTCAACTATTCAGCAATAACCCTGGTAATTTCAAATGTTATTGTTTCTGGGAATATTGCCTTACTCTGTTGTCTTGAGTGAATTTAAACCTATTATAGTAATAGTGATTATTTTCACCAATAAAGTCAGTTTGATCTTTAATGGGGTAAAATCATACAGACACAACATTTCACAGAGAGGAGGGATATTAGAAATCCAGTCTTTAATTTCCTGAATGAAGAAAGTTAGTTTTTCCAAGATTAGACTGAAGGCAGACCCCTTCCAGTTGTCGTGGTTCTGACAGTCCAGAATTAGAGAAACATATTGCAGAATACTCATAAATACCATGACCCATCAACTTTTAGAAATTCAAGCAGGTCTATTCTGTGGCACCAACTTCCTTGTGTAATTTCTTCCCATGACTCAAAGTCAGTAGTAGCCTTGGAGTAGTTTATCTGTGTTGCACTTGGGGGTTCACTGACCTGTTCTTTCTGTTTTTCACTGCTGCCGAGTTTCTTTGAGTGTGTCCGCACTGTCCTACAGTCTGTTGGACTGGTTCTGCTTTAAACTGGTAACCTCACTGGAAAGTCCTTAAAGAATTTCAGGTGGTGTCATGAATGGTTAAGGTTGATTGAAACATGCATTTACATACCACCTGTATTTTATGTATTTCTCGATTTCACTGCAAGTTCATTTCATAGTATTTCTTTGATGTCGTCTTGGTCATTTTGAAAGTTGATACACTGAAATTCAGTGATCTGGTCTACATTATAAAGTTAATGTGGATCACAGCAGTGACAAAACATTTATTGAGCACCGACTGTGTACTCAGTTTACATGCATGTTGGAACCCTCCTTAAGCTAGTCGAGTCATTAGCAGTTTTTTTGTTGTTGGCTACGGAAAGGCTCCTCAGAGGCAGGTGAGAGCTACTGCTTGCTTCCCTCCCAATCACTAACTCCTTAACCATCTGCAACCTGGGGGTAATAATAGTGGCCTTTTCCTAAGGTTCTGTGAGGATTAAACAAGTTAATATACATTAAGCAGAAGTGTATGTAGTTACAAGTATGTGCTGTGGCTGTTGTTCCTGTTGTTATTGTTCATAAAACCTTACAATGAAAGCAGGTCTCAGACTTAATTCTGCCACAGGTACACTTAGGCAGCATTTAAAACAATCAGCCCTGTAACTCGTTTGTAATCTTCACCAAGTCCCAACTCTCGGTCCTTTTAGGTTCCTGGAGATATCTTGCATTGAAGAGCCATTAAAATCAGTTCACCTGGTGTTGACTGTCTCAGATCCCTAACCCTAGGCTGCAGGTCTGAAGTTCAAGTACTGGCTGCATAGGTTTGGCTGTTCCACTCTTACAGAAGAGTGGCAGTGCCTTCAAGATGTTTCTGACTAATCCACACACCACTGCTTCCAACTGTGGAATACTCAGTAACCCCCATAATGCTGATTCAGCTTAAATTACTGCAGCCCCCTCTGTGTAGGGTTTTGATTAGAGTCTTTCAAATGCTAACTGTCCTCCCTTGGTGTGTATTTTCCTGATTAGTGTACTTCACATGTTAATTTATTGCCCCTGGGACATACATTAAAACCAATCCGCATTTTAATCTTCCTACATAAATTGAAGTATTTTGATGTAGATTAATTCTTGGAACAAGCCTACGAAGCAGATTGTATTCTTACTCCATTTTCACAGGGGAAACACGGAGGTTCGGAGCCTAACCAAGGTCCCCTAGTCGACAAAGTCAAATCCTCAGTCCATCCAAAATCTGTGAAAACTTTAAAAAGCCATGTTCTTAATTATTCAAATTAGAATTGCTTATTTTAGCTGTAATTAGCTCTAATACTCTAAATGCTATTTGGCTATTTATGCGAAGACCAAAGGTACTGTTTAGTTTCCTAGTTTTTTTTTTGTGCTCCACAATTTGGAAGGCCAGACAGTAAGATAGTAAGGGGTTCATAAATACCCTTTCCACATGTGATAAAGATTTGGGAAGAATAAGGAAAGTGTAGCCTTTGCCTGTCAGTGCTACTGTCTTTAAAAAGTTGCACATGTTTAGGTTAGGATATGTGAGTGCATCCATCTGGAACAGTGAGGGGAGGTCACAGTTGTGTAGCCTCAGGTGTACTTTAGGGGCGGTAATAGAGAAATGACCAGGTAAGGGTTCTAGGCAGCCAGCTCCTTCCGCATGTGCTCTTCCTTCCTTCCGTGTGCTAGTATGAAACCCAGATCTACTTAATGCACTCTCCTTCCTTTCTAGAATGTCGTGTCTTGAAGTCGTCTTATTCTCGCTCCCCAGCTAAGTATTCTGGATCCAAAAGCCCTGGGTTCTCTCGACGCAGCAAATCGCCAGCCTCAGGTAGTTAATGGAAAAGGAATGATGGTCACAGGAGGAACACACCATTCTCCTTTTGTTTCCTTTAATTATTGTGAATTTGCAGTCTTTCCATTGTTTGTGTGTGCAGCCAGGTTACAGAAGAGTACGCAGATGACATAATTTTTTTAAACCAAAAATTGAAGTTTGTTTCTCAACATTATAAATAAGTCTTCCAAGAAACTAGCTCATTTTGTTCTGACACTTTTTTGAGAATAATCTTATTATCTTGATTCTTCTGATATTTAATGTAGAAATGCCTCACATATTGACCACTGTACTGTATTTTAATTTTTGTACAAGGTGGTTGTGGATATTCTCTTATTTAAAACTTAACACACACACCTAGCATAATGTTATTTACTCAATAGATTTCCACAGGCTTTTCCTTCATTAAGCAATTTAATAGTAGCAACGATTATTCTTGGAAAGAAGTACTTTATGTAAGAGTCAAGCTTAACTGTCATTGAGTTTCTCTTAGGTCCTGTGGATTTGTCATCATTTGACCATTTTGACATTTAAAAAATACAAAACCACCCACAAACATCTTGATATACCGCTCCTACCAGCTTTGTTTCTAGTTTAATTATGAACAACTTTGTGGATATTATCTCCCATTAAGGAAAGGGTTGTGAAAAACCATGATTTCACATGTGGGAAATCTAGAACACGTGAAAGTAGAATCAATAAAAACGGTCTCCAGCATCACACTTTTTATAAGATACTGCGTTTGGGGGCTGTTCTCCTTCCCACCACTTCCCGGTCAGCACCCACCCACTCTCCCCAGGCCGGGTTGTTTCACCCTTCTGTTTGTGTGCACGTTTAGACCTGCTGATTAACCGCTCTCCTTCCTGTCTCCTCCTCCTCCTCCTCCTCTGTGTGTACTGAATGTGCACAGTAAAGAGGGGTGGCCACTACCCCAGTGCCTACTCTACAGCCAGATCCCCAGGTGAGCCATGGTTCTTGTGGCTTTGTCACTCTGCTGGGTTTCTGTTGTCTTTTGCCACATTTCTGTTTCCTTTGCTCCATTTCCGTGACTGTATCTGGCTTGTACCATGTGCATCTGTGCAGAATGAAATGCTTCACAACTCACAGGTACTTCTGCCCCCTTTACTTACTGGAGAACTGGTTGTCCAAAGGCCGCATGGTACCTGTCCGTGTGTACTAGCATCATCAAGTGATCGACGGGGCGCATCTCCTCCAGGTGTTTATTTCCCAGTTAAATTTAGGAAATATTTTATTATCGAAAAAGGCTCAAATTTGTTGGTAATATGAAAATGCTCACAGATGCAATTGTTCTCTTCTGTTCTATCCTTCCTCCCCTCCCCGGGCTTCATAGGCCCAATACTTTCTAGAAGTGTTGACAAGATGAGTATTTTTAACTGAAAGCATAGTTCTGCTGTGAGGCTTATACTGTGCTTTCTGTAAAGAATCTCACACACTGGGAAGCTAACATAATTAGAAATTCGCATAAATACACAGAAGTGAGCTTACCATGTGGAAGGTGCGCATTTTTGTCAGGTTCTTAGCTTTTGTTTCAGTAATAGGTGTACAGATGCTATCACATAGTAAACTAACAAAATGAAAGTGGGGAGAGTGGTTCAAGAATCAGGTGTTGTGTTGATTCCTATTTTGTCTCCCTGAGGTCGAAAGAGAGACATTAACATACTGAACTCAAAACATGTTTCATAGCCACATTCATCTCACAGAGCAGCTGCTTCATGGCACAGCCTAATAAATGCATAAATCTTTTTAACTGGAGCTTGGAATGCTTCGTAATTGATTCAAGGAAACCTTCGCATTCCAGTACCCCCAATTTTTAACTGAGTCCATATTTGGGTTTGGGTCAATAGAATAGATCTTACATAAATAAAAGTTGTGGGATGTTTAAATCACCTTTCAGAGGGCAGGCAGCTTGTTTGTAAGAGATTAACTGAAAAGTGTGTTCACCGCACATGGCAGTTATGGAAAATCGACAGCCAGTCAATTGCTGGAATTCACTGTGATTCTGAAGGAAGTTGCTGTACAGGGTGGGCAAAAGTAGGTTCACAGTTGTTTGTATGGGAAAAGACATGCAGGTCATGACTGTTACAATAGCTTTATGAACTCCGTGTTTCGTGTACTCACAACTGTAAGCCTACTTTTGCCCACCTCTGTATGTATTCGTACGGTATTCTCTTTCCACTTCTGGCAAAGAAGGAGTTTTATATTATTAAAAGCCACAGAACCCAGAGGTATAACTTGCTTTTATAGACTGCTTTAGCTGTGGTCTACCTCTTAACATTTACAGAATTCTGTGGCACTATTTGGAATTTCAAACAGAGCTGGTAACTTTATACACATAATACTGTACTTTTTCAGTCTTGGGACAGAAATACTCCTGGAAGGGAAGTTGTCTAGTTGACTAAATTCCTTATCAAAACTCTAATCAATTATAATAGCTAAATAGTGTGAAATAAGCACACCATTAATAGAAGTTAATCTGGAAGACGTAAGTAGGTAAATACTAACCATGATTGGAGTCTTAAAAATTCTCACTTTAGGTTTCTAACTTGGGATTCTTTTTCATAATCGACCAATATCTTGAAAAGCACTCAGAGCAAGCACACAAGCGAACAGTCAGATCCTCAAGTGTATTTCTTACCTTCCAGTTGAGGGGGGGGGTTGGATGAAAGCCTTTCTTTGGGAGAGAACATCATGGGTGTGGTGAAGGGGAGGGGGGTCACGATGCTGACTGGTCATAGTGCGCCTTCCAGCCGGTGGCTGCCAGTGTCGGCAGAAGGCACAGCATGGCCTGGTGCCGGATGTCACGGGCCCTCCCAAAGACTCAGGACAAATGTATAAAGAAATGATATTAAGCACTATTCATTAGAACACGTCTTTCTAGAATCTTCTGAATGTGATCAGGAATTTAGAGGGCTACATGTGACTTAATCTCTGTTTAGGATGAGAATTATTTGGGGAAAAACATGGACGTGTTGTGACCGACACCAGTTAAATCCCCAGGGGGTGTGTTTTGTTAAGAAACTATAGGGAGCTTGGTCGGCTACAGAGATCACCGTTTGCAGGAATTTTTCTCCTTCAGTCCCTTTTCTGTCACCATTCCAAGAAAGCCTTTGATATCAGTGTGGTGTCTGGATAGTACTGAAAGCCAACAGCACAAATGGAGGAGGAGAAATTGGGGACCCGTACAGATCAGTGTATGGGATGGAGAAAAGATTTCAGCTCACAGCAAGTTTAAAAACCCATTTTCATCATAATCTCTATTTAATGTGATTTCTTACCATCAGTTTCCTTTAAAGAAAATTTTACAACACTCTAACATTAATTAAAATTGAACTTAATCGATAAAAAAAAGTCAGGGCTATTGAATACTTTTTTGTTTTCAATCCTCACCTAAGGACATGCCCATTAATTTTAGAGAGAGTGGGAGGGAGGGAGAGAGAAACGGAGAGCAACATCGATGAGAGAGAGAAACATTGGTTGGCTGCTTCTTGTACACGTCCTGACCAGGGACTGAACCTGCAACCTAGGCATGTGCCCTGACCGGGACTCAAACCTGTGACCCTGCAGTTTACCGGACTACACTCCAACCAACCGAGCCATGCTGGCCAGGAGACATGCAGTTGGATGCTCTGAAAAGTTTTCAATTAATTGGATAGTTACTTGTATTATACTTGCACTCTGGATACCCACATATATTTGTTAAGAAAATGTAAATAACTGATCACGATCTTGAGTAGTTTTAAATTAGAAAGATGATTAGTGATTCAAAAATTAAAAAAAATTTTCATCTTCATTTTGTAATTCAAAAATAAATGGAAAAATTTTTTTGTTTTCACTGAATTTTTAAAATGAGCACCACAGGAAACAAGCATGACTTCACAGACCCCTGTGTGCACATGATTTATTGAATCACAAATACCAGATCCAGGACTTCTCCTTCGCTCAGGGACCGGTGCTCACCTTTTGGAATCCCCTAATCAGGGCTTTTATGTCTGCATTTTCTTTTTATACTTACTGGCATAATTTAAAATAATAGTTGTCTGCTCCAGCATATTAAAGAAAAGGAGATGGTCTTTGCTTTTCCTTCCATAGAGATGAACCTCAGGTTTCATCTTCTCTGGGCAAAAGCATTGAAGATTCGTGATGGACAGGGTCATAAATACTCCTTAGAAGAGGAAAAACTACACCAGCACTAGATGTTAAGTACCAGCTTGGTGACATTACCACAGAAATGGGTCCAGGAGACACAATTAGGAATATGCGTGAGTCACGCCGAACTGGTTGGCCAGCGTTCTGTAGTCAGAATCTGCGATTGGCCTTCCCTTGCAAACTGTGGTGACTGGAGCTCTAAATTGAGCTTTTGACGTACAAAGTTTGTAGAAGTTTGGAGGAAGGTGTGTAAAAAACCACCAAGATTTGTTAAAGAATAGGGAAATGAATCTGTGAAGAAAAGATCAAAGAAGGAATTAGAAATAACTAGTCTCAATGAAAAAGTTGGACCATGTCTTTCATGGCTTCCAACAAGTAGATAGTACAAGAAAAATGACCAATAATTTCTCTCTCCATTAAGAATGTACTTAGAAAATGTGTTTGCATTGTGGTGGAACCGATTTGGGAGAGTCGTAGAACATCTTCATTATTCAGGTTGGTGTGTACCAGGATGGCGTGCATGGGAGGTTATGAGAGAGTCTTCATAGCAGAGCACTACAAAGATAGCAGCTATCCCCTTCCCTACCCTTGCTGGCAGGCAGGATAGATGGACAAGTTCTTATTCACATCTTGAGTTCCGTAATGTTATATACCTTTGTTTTTGTCATTGTTGGGAAGCTATTATCAAAAATAATCCTAGGTTCACTCCCTATGTGTCTAATACTTTGTCTGGAATACAAGAAACTACATTATTTTTGCTTTTTGCTGGTTTGCCATCTGCTTTGAATGAAGCTTCATGCATGTGCTTAGTGTTTTCACACGGTCCAGCTGTCTTGAGTTTTAATGACCTCTGTCTCCTCTGTTGTCTCCTGGTCAGTTAACGGGACTCCGAGCAGCCAGCTCTCCACTCCTAAGTCGACGAAGTCCTCCAGTTCCTCTCCAACTAGCCCAGGGAGTTTCAGAGGACTAAAGGTATGAAGTAGCCTATGTGGCATGTTTGTGTGATTTTGTCATTTTGAGTTCATAGTTCACTAGTTTAGTTTGTTCAGGGGCTTGGATACAGTAACAGATTAAGCAGGAAAGAGGTCAGGATTTGGAGCCAGGAAGACAGGGCTTTGGACCCTGTATCCTGTTTCATTTTGTGATATTGGCCAACTCACTTGCTTAACTCTTCTGAGCTGAACTGTTCCAGTCTCTAGAATGGGAATATCAGGTTGTGTGTAGGATCGAATATAATGTGGAAAAATATGTCAGTAGTAGTTTTCCTGTTATTAGCAAAATGACTTGCAATGATGAAGCCTTGGAGAACTCCTGTGATTCTTCTTAAAAATCTTATTTTGAATCATGACTTTAAGTTGACTGCATAATTTGACTCTGTGAAAGTGCAAAATAGAGTGAAATACTAGTATACTACTTACATACACAAGTAGTGACACAAGAACAATGTGCATTTTGGTGAAGAACTCAGATAAATGTTAGGTTTTGAATGCGATGTGCTTACATAAACAGTAACTTAACCTGATTGCCACTTGGTTTAATAGGCATTTTATCTAATAGGAAAAATGATGAGCAAAGCCAAATTTGAAAACTTTCAATTAACTTAATTTGACATAACAGCTCTTGATATTTTAAAGTTATAAGAGAAAATGTTCCTGGTAAAATGGCAGTGAATTACTGAGGTTCAAGACTGACCTTCTGCTTCTGTAGACACAATCAGACGGAAGGACACAGTGTGCCTTCCATAAGTGTGTTTGTGCTGATTAACTTGCATTTTCCTGGCATGCTTGGTTGACAATGGAAATACCTTCATTAGGAATACATTCTCCAGAGTTCCTTGGTATTATCTGAGTCCTTTTCTTTACCTTAAGGATGTTGAAAAATATTTTTCATTAGTGAAATACATGGTGAGCACTCCCCCCGCCCCCACCCACCTTCACGTGAATGAGGAACAAGTACCTGCCGAGCCCGGGATCCTGACCCCTTCTGAGCAGTGAGGTGTGTGGTCCCCCACTTCTCAAAGGGTTTCATTCTCCACCCAGCCCTGAGGTTTGCTCGTCCTGCCCTGAGAATGTCGTGTCTGCCCCAGAGAGCACATGCATGGTTCTCATCTAAGTGCCTGAAATCAAACAAATCTTGTTCCTCCAGAAAAAGACTGTGTTTTGTTTCTTCTTGCTTATGTAGGTGGCAGGATTTGGACTGAGGCTGGGTGGTAGTGGGGGGAGGGAAATGGGGGCAACTGTGGTACTGTCAACAATAACAGTAAAGTTATAAATAGGTAAAAATCCCTGTTCTTTTAGGATAAGAGTAAGTACATGTTACCTGTTTGGGGCTCCTCTCAATTAAACAGACTTGGGATTTAAAGTGCCCAGCTCTCACCTACCTCGGAATGCTGGAAGCTCCTTATATGTATGTCAAACAGGCATTTCCTGAAGTACCGCATTGGCTTAGGTCAGTCCATAATAGGATTTCAATGGAACTCTTCACCGTCAATTAAAAAAAAAGTTATGGAAATTAAAATTCACTAGTATATGCTAAGTATTTTCAGCTTTTCCCTCCCAACTTATTTTCCCTAGAACAGATAAAAGGTGCACTGTTTTCACTTTGAGTAACTTTCAAGAGACCCAAAGTAAAAATAATTCAAGTTACTTTCTAATCAAACACAGGTCTAGCCGCCTACCACTTTGAAAGCCAATATTTGAAAGTCAGGTGCTGGTGTAAAGGAAAGAGGTTTATTCAAGTAGTGGCCCCTGAGAAGGTGGAGGACTCATGCCTCAAAGCCCTTCTTAACATTTCAGTCCAGGCAGAGGTTTCTATAAGGTCAGAGAAGGGTAGCACAACCAGGAGATCAAGGAAGGGGCTTGATAAACTCTCTATGTGCAGACAAGCACAGTCCGTTCTGATAAGGCAAGCGATGGTTTGGTGTGCATCATGCCGGCTCCACAGTTAAAGGTCGGCAAATCTCCCAGAGCTGGGATGCCTGAAGGTAGGAGTCTGTGTCTTTCAAGGTTAGTTCCTAGGATTCTTACACAAACGTGTTTATATATAAGCAATGTATTAGTCAGAGCCAGCATTTACAGAAACACGTCAAAAGAATGGTAGGGTTGCGATTCCTCACAGTTACAGACTCACCTCTTTTCTAGTTTTAGTTGCTTCATCATCTGTGAAAGCAAAACCAAGTGGCTCCTAGTGCTGCTAATTGTTAACCCAGCATTGCAAACCCAGCATGAGTTTCCAGGGAGCTGCATGCAAAGGTCATTGGACTCTTCCCCCCAGGCTGTTGCTCCAGGAAGGGCTGGGAGCCTTGACCTAGGGCTGCAAGTGGTCTTCTGGGCTGGTGCTTTGGTCCCTGCTTACCCAGGGTCACGGACATTTTCCCCTTTTTTGTTATCCATTGGTAACCTGGGCTCCCGTCTTTCTTCCTAGCTCATCTTCAACTCCAAACTCAACATTGTCCTTTTTTGTTGATGCTCCTGGGACACTAGGGGCTGCTTAGGCTCAGTGCACACCCGCTCTCTCACACATGCATGCAAACTCCCACAAGATCGCTCACATTTCTGGACTGAAGATTCATGAAATTTTAAAAATGTGATCATTCGTATGATTGCTGAGACCTCTCATTATTTTTCTCCCTACGTGAGGTGTATCTTATTATGGTAACCTTAGCATTTAGCACTCAGTAAATTCTGAAGGCTCATATATTGATGTCAAAAAAGATAAAGAGAAATGCTGATCACTGGGGGTAAAATGAAATTATCAGTAAGATAAAGAGTAGTAATCCTTCCAGGACCCTCACCTGAGGGCCGTGGGTTTTGCCAACAACTGCGACACCTCTGGTTGTTTTCCCCCCTCATTTGTAAAATAAAAATGCTTGATTTTAGATGACCTCTAAAAATGCTAGGATTATAGTTATTTTAACTTGCAAAAAAAAAACAAACCCGATCTGGGAGGCTGGGGAGTCTGTTTCTTTCCCCCCTTTAAAGCTGATGTAGAATCCCTGAATTTTACATTAAATATTAGCAACTAAACAAGTACCTGCCACACTGACCAGCCTTGAGGACACAGTGTGAGACATCTCTACCCCTTCCCACTCCCGTGGGTCATGCCTGGTGGAAATTTTGTCTTCTTACAGTTCCCAGCAATCTGTGGTGTATATTGCCTTTGAAATACTGCAACTTAGTCATGCTACTTACTGTACAAAATAACCCTAATTTCGATGTCATTGTAAAGCTCTCGTCAGCATCTGTCCACATTTGCATTATTTTCTCTATTCAGCGACATTGCAAATGGAGAATTACAGATAATTACCATGTGTTCGTGCTATGGCTTTTTCTTCCCCTTCATTTAAAATAGCTTATTAAGATCAATTAAGAGGGAATGTCTGACAGTGGAGGACTGTTTTTCATGGGCAGGAACTTTTACCACTATTTATCCTAATTAGAAGCTTAATGGCTTTGGGGGTAGATAATCTTTTTCCAGAGAATCAGAGAGTTGACAAAAGCAAGCAAGCTAAGCCAGGAGGGCAAGTGCGGAAGGAGTGGACGGAGCTGCCTCTCATCTGCCAGGACCCAGCTTTGGGCAGATGGGTTCTGTTGTTTTCCGTCTGGGTTTTACTGAGGGTGGAATTAAGCAAACAAGTCAGAGGTAAGCAGAACTCGATGGGCTGTCACCATCACCATTTACCCCGCCTTTGTGCCAGTTTCTGGGAATCATTTTGGTGTTTTGCTGGGAACCTTTTCGAGAGCTGAAAATGCAATTAGACTGATGTAATGTCTCATCTCTGACCGCAGAGTGTCCACGGCATGTTCGTGTGCTCATGGAAAGAGACGAGAAATACAAAAGCAGCCCCCCTTTTGCGACAGGCTCTCGGTTTTCTCAATCATGTCCTCGGGAGGAAGACAATGCTGGTCCATTTGCCTGTGCTCATAAAAGCATCATGCTCTCTGAGGGGCTGCACCAGAGTCAGGAGAGGAAGCAAAGCTTTCTTCACATTGTGAAGTTTTCGCAGGATGGGAGTGTCACAAATGGTTGGGGACCAAGTAATCAATGTTCTCTAAACCTAAACGACTTCTGGAGCATTGAGAGTGAATCCTACCTCAGTTATAATATCTTGCTTTTGTTGGATAGTTACCTAAAACCATTGAATGTGAAGCCTGGCAGAGGTCTCAGATCTTTCAGTTTAGTGTTCATTTTATAGTTGGGGAAACTGAGGTTCAGAGATGTGATCTGCTGAAGATCCCAGTGGCCAGCAGGGAACTCTGAGCCTGTCAGGGTCTGTGTCTCTAACCTCTGACTTTTCTTGCTCTCACTGGTTTGCTTCAGTGACTCAAGCCAGGCACCCGGGAGGAAGCTTGTATGGTTACTATGGAAAAACTGTGCTGTGTCAATCTCTCAGGGGGAAGAGCGTGGGGTGGTTTGTTTGCCGAGTTCCTGGGTCTAAGTCTGCACAAAGGCTCCAGAGTGAACAAGGGTTGGGAGGTTAGCAAAAGAATGAGGAGGGGAGGGTCGGGGGGGAAAGGGAGGAACAGTCCCGGGGTGCAGGGGAGACTGGATGAAGGAAGGTGGAAAGATGAAGAACGCCTGCTGATAGCTCTTCCTGGGAGACTTGGGGGAAGAGATTACTAATAGGTACCCAATGAAAGCTCTTTTCAAGCGAAATGGTCGGTCCGTACTGTGTGCCAAGCACTTCTGCCTGACCCTCTAAAGCTTTAGTAAGATGACAAAGTTCACAGTAGGTGGGGGCTATTGGTTTGCTTTGGAAGCTAGTAATGGAGCCAAGTATTGTCAAGATTCGGCAAAGGTAGGGAACAGTAGTCCGGGCCCAGCAATTGCCTGGGTCCATGGGTGTGAGACCATGTTACATGGTTGGCCTGTGATGGGAGCCCGTTGTGAGGAGTGTGGTGGCACCACTGGGGTTTGAAAGCAGAGCCCAGGCTCATAACCATTACTGGCCTCCGAGGCCGGCCTGTTCAACGTGATTGGAAACAACACGGCCAGACCAAATGTTCATGAAATGAGATGCTGGGGCCACCTGGCAGGGCCACACTGGGCCTCTTCCCTGAACCTAGTCCCTAGGTGTTGGAATTTGGCTTTGCTTTTGTATGGGCTCAGGGACCCTGGCTCTCCTAAAGGGCGATGCCACTCACGGTGGTCGTCAGCTGGAGGAGGCATTTCTGCAGGCCAGCCACAGGCCACCTGCACCTGGGCGGTGCAGGGCCCCCTGCAGCAAGGCCAGTCCACACCGGGATGTACTGGGCCTGTATCTCCAGGGTGAGAGCTCGTCAGCATTCTGTTTGCCTTTCGCCCTCCTCGATAATTAAAATTTGCCAGAGTGCCTGTGGGTGGGATTTGCCTGGCTACTCACTTAGCTGTGTGACCTTGGGCAAGTCACATCATCTTTTTCTGTATAAAGGATTACCAGGACCCACAGCACAGGGTTGAGATTAATTGGAGGTTAGCTGGTTAAATATACAGAAAGCCTGAGAAGAGCTTTGTTATTCTTCCTTATGGCAAGCCTTGGGGCTTTCTAGGTTCAGTTTTCACATGAGGGGAGTTTCACCTACCAAAAAATTGACATGCAGCCCTGACCATCGTGGCTTAGTTGGTGAGTGTCCCCCTCTGAGGCAAAAAAGCCTGCTGGTTCGATTCCCAGCCAGGACACATGTCTGGGTTGTGAGCCAGGTCCCCGGTCGGGGAGCATAGCAAGCAATCGATGTCTTTGTCTCACATCCATGTTTCTCCCCCTCTCTTTCTCCCTCCTTTCCTCTCTTTCTAAAAATAAATACATAAAAATCTTTTTAAAAAACCAACATGCAGTGGTAGTGTGGGAGAAGAAAATAGTCAGACTCCAGATGTTATTATCACCCCCGTTTTTCAGGGACGACTTTCCCTCCCAGCCTCATCGCCCCTGCTTTTCTGCCTCCTCCACAGCCCTGTCCTATTAGTAATCTTTAGATAAGTCCATTAGCTCTGAGTTATCCCAGCACGTAGCAGCTTAGAACAACAATAAAAATACTATTTTCTCATACAGGTTTTATGGCTCAGGAATTCAGGATCAGCTTACTGGGGTGTTTCTGGCTTAAGAATTTTGATGAGATTGTAGTCGAGATGCACCTCGGGCTGCAGTCCTCTGAAGGCTTCACTGGGAACTGGTGGTTCCCTGCCAAGTGGCTCACTCGCATGGTGCAGGCTGACACTGGCTCGTGGCAGGAGGCCTCGGTTCTTTGACGTTTGCGCCCCCATAGCTGCCCCAAGCACCCTCCGAACACGGCAGCTGGCTTTTCCCTGAGCAGGAGACTTGAGAGAGAAAGAGACTCCTCCTTCCTGTGACCTGGCCTCGGGAGTCGGACTCCATCATTTCTTTAGTATCTTAGCTGTCACTGGGCTCAGCCCTGGTCTGTGGGGCAGAGGCTGTGCAAGGGCCTGTAACCAGGAGGTGAGGCTGGTGGGGACCATGTGGGAGGCTGGCTGCCCCCCCCATT